AATTGAAGAAATATTCTAATCCTAAACTCCACTAAACTAAAGAGTATACAAAATGTAGAATAGAGAGATTGCTTCTTGAGTGTGTGGAGTGAAGTGAGAAGCACCCATAACCACCATCAGGGGCCAACGGAGAGCTGCCATAGGGAAGGCGGAGGTGAGAGGGGCCATGCCTGGTTTGGCTGACCCCTGGTTTAGCCAAACCAGGGCAACCGTCTCTCTCCACCGACCTTCTCCCAGAGGCTGCCAGGTGGGCCCCTAGGTCAGTGCACGATGGATTAGCCCTGAATTAAGTCGGTTTGGTATGACTTGTGAGCCCTCCAATCCTTGTGCTTTCACGTGATTCGCTAGAGGTGTGTTTCTTTGCAAGCCGACACATTTCTCCTTCACTTTATTGTATAATCCTTACATCCATAGTATTTCTCCAAGACAAGTGGAACTACATTATTTATAACTAATATGCGTATAAGAAATGCTAGTTCTCCTTTTATTATTGAGCTAATTGACACTTGAAATCGGTATTTAATGACCGTCAACACCCGTGAGGAGCTAGCTAGCCTATAGTTGTGGGTGACGCGGGCCTAGCTGGCGCAAGGAAAGGTGAGGCTTGGTTGCCCTAGTGGGCTGACTAGCTAGCTCAGTTGAGGTTGTCCAGTGGGGATGGGTCGAATTGGGGGCATTGTCTCGAGCCTACTAAGAAAGTATTTCCTATTTCCAACAAATTTATTAATTAGTTGAAAATTTTTTTCGACCAAATTATTTCATATTTCATATTCTTAACTCAGATGTTTTTCTTAGTTAAAGGAATTTTATTTAAGTTGGTGAGATGGCTAACAAGAAACCGCCAGAACCATCATGGATGCAGGATTTCAGAAAAGATTTTTGACAATTCAAAATTTTGGGTTCCATATTTTTATTTCATAAAATTCAGGATGTTACATCCGGGCTGCTGGATCTCATAATAGGGAGGTGTAGAGGGCTAAATCTGACCACACACACCACCATGGTTGTCTCGCTGGTGATGCATGAAGTCTCGTCTATGCCGCTGGGAGCTCCTCTTCCCTTCCATTTTCTCCCCCGAGGCTACCCCCACTTCCTCCCTAGTTCCATCAATGTCGCCACACCATCTCCCTTCTAACTTAGAGGTGATGGATCTATTCTCCACTAGCATGGGGCCATTGAATCTGACCACTCCAAACACTAGGGCCACCAGATCCCACCCTCCAAGCTTGGGTCACTTGAACCCAACGGTAGGGTGGTGCGGTGGCACAACTAATGGCATTATAATGGGTAAGGCGATGGCACACAATGGTGATAAGTGCTATGATGGGAAAGGTGATGGAAACAAGCATGGGGATGTCCATAATGATAATGCAGCAATGACTACAATGGTAGCATATCAATGACTAAGCGAGGAGAGCAAGAAGCATGAGATGATCATGAAGGCAGTGCGGTGACGACCAAGAGAGCGGACTGAGCGGTGGTTGTAAGTCCCTCCTACGATGATGGTAGTATTATTTTATTTTTTTTATTTTTTGCTGAAAACATGCAAACTGACGATTGGGCTCTTGAACAACCAATGATACTCATTATTGAAACCAATTGTGATACTCCAAATATCTCAATTGGTTCAAAAGCCAACAATGAAGTTTGTTATGAACAAATGTTGATGGCTGATTATGTACTACTGTATTTGCAATTGCATAAGGGTATTTGTGTCATGAGGACCAATCTTTGCATTTGGTGGAGGTTCTGCAATTACAGTAGGCATTTAATACTTTGGTAGACATTTTATAGTTGCGGGTGCTTGATAGTGTTATATAGTTGTGGGAAGGCATTTACTACTTTGGGTAAAGTGCAATTTACCCCATAAACTATTGCGGTACTCTGGATTACCCGTGAACTACAATACGAGACATTCTTCTCTCCTCAATCGTTAAAATTTTATCCCTTGAGTAAGAATAAAAGTGGTTTTATTATTGCGTGCCATTGCTTTGCCCTTGTGGCATTGGAGGCCACCTATCAACCATTGCTTCATGTTTCCTTTTGTTTTTATCCTTATTTTTTCTCTTCTATTGCTTCTACCACCGGTAACCTCCTCCTACTTCCTTGGTGACAATGCTAGCGACCAAGTAGCCTCCTTCACTCCTTCAGCATAGGCGCTGGCTAGTCCTCATTTCATCCCCCCTTTTCTATTTACCCACCATTGCACCATGGAGGCGTTGGCATCCATTCCCCTCCCCATCCTTGATTTTGTTGTTGTCACCGTTGAGGAGCAAGGAGGTGAACACCAAACGAATGAGTGTTGGAGACCAACGATGGTTGGTAGTGGTCAGGGTCTAGGCAGTAAGCAAGGGGATGCGGCAGAATGAGGAGCCAGCAAGGGTGAGGTCAAGGTCGAGGCCTAGGCAATGATCAATGGGGCTCTTCAGCTCAATTTGTTTGCCTTGCTTCCCCGTTGTGGCCTTCTCCCACAAGTGGTTGGGGATCCATGGTGAGGAGGGAATCATCCAAGTCAACAACGCGGTCATTGCTAGTTAAGTTGCAACTCTTTTTTAGCTCTGTCGGCCCCTTGAATCTCCCTCTTTGGCACCATGTCCAGCCTCGCCTCTCATCTACCTCCACCCTCCTTGTCGCCACCAGACACCGCTTTCTTTCCTCCCCTACTCGCTTCCCTCGTCCACCTCACCCCTCCTTCCTCGGTGTTGGTAGTGGCCTCCTGAGCACGATGAGGAACACATCAGTAGCCACCTTCCGATCCAACTCAGCACTCTACCTCCATAGTAGAACCACATCATCTCTCTTTCATTGGCAGCGATGGTGCCATCCTATATGCTTTCCTCCTGAGATCTAGCTTTCCCTCTCTGTCTACACACTTTCGGTTAGGGAGGTGCAAGCTCTCATGCGAGTGGGATCTTGGGTGGCTTTGACATAGACAACTCAACGTCCAGCTGTAGTGGGACGAGAGAGAAGAATGAAGAGAATGGAGAAAAAAATATGTCGTGGATGATAGACGGTCTAGTTTTTTTAACAATTAATTTATCGATGTTCCTGACTGGATTGCCACCGGTAAATTAATTGTTAAAAAAACTAGACCGTCTATCATCGGTAAGTTACTGCCATATGTGCGCAAGTAGGACCAAAACCACCCTTCATTATCCTTAGAGGGTAATTCAACTGGTTTGAGAAGTTTAGTGGATGTTAAATTCAACGAATGAGATAGTTCAAAGAGTATTTTGGACTTTACCCAGGGTACTATTAGCATAACCGATTAAAAAAGGGACAATTGTGTTCTTGCCCTTACTTTCTAGTTAGATTGTTACCCCTGCTACATAGGGTTTGTGTTTTTGCTGCTACTTTTTTGAAATGAAGCAACCAGTTGCCCCTATTCTGTTAACTGATGGTAATCGTGTGTAAATGTGTGGTGAATGGAAATATATACCCTTGATTGCATATTTACCCCTACTTTTGAGATGAATAATTTTGGCATAAACATCATACATGTTTCAAGGTGAATTTGTATGTATTTTAGATGTGACCTAAATTTTGAAAAAAAATTGTCAAAGTTTGACAAAATTTTAGCAATAATTTTAGAGATAATCCATGAAATGCCATTAACAAGCGTCTAAGTCCTAGAAATGCCATCAACAAGTGTGAGTTCCAAGAAATTCTATCGTACAAACGATTTTGTCCCAAAAATACCATCGCCGTTAGGGTTCCGTCCATTCCATGCCGTTAAATACACTATTCATCCTATAGAACTTAACGGCGCGGAATGGACGGAACCCTAACAACAATGGTATTTTTGGGACAAAATCGTTTGTACGATGGCATTTCTTGGAACTCACACTTGTCGATGGCATTTCTGGGACTTAGACGCTTGTCAATGGCATTTCATGGATTATCTCATAATTTTAACACAATCTTGTAAAAGTTCGATAGAATACAATATTTTGGACAAAATTTTGACAGAATTTCAGCAATAAGTTTGGCACAATTTCAACAGATATGTTCAACATCTCGCCTTATATAACATGTCCAAGCATCACAAAGTAGCACATACTCAAGAACACACATTAAACCTCTCTAGGGTTTTGGGATTGGGTGAAATGCAACCTTCTAACCCGATTCACACCCTGGTTGACTGATTTACTTATAAGGGGTATAATGGCCATTCACAAATTACAATATCATTTTTTCCCTTTGTTTAATTTGAAAGTTCCGAGTCTACCTAACTACTGTCACAACTGGGGGTAAACGGTTGCTTCATTTTAAAAAGTAGGGGCAAAAACACAAACCTAAAAAGCAGGGATAAAATCACAATTGAAAGTAGGAGGCTAAGGTTTTAATATATAGGAATGAGATTCTAAGATAAACTTGTGTCTTTTTGGAGAGATCACAATGTTATGCCAGCAAAAGTGAAAATGCTAATTACCTAACTTGTCAATATCACTCTTTTCCATAACTACTTTAGCTGAGGTTTTTCTATTAATGTAGGGAACATCTGCTTGTACCACCTTACTTCACCATCAAGTAAGTATAAAATTCGTTTGTAAAGCCAAGAAGACTTGACTTACATATAGACCAAGTAACAATGCTTTGAACAATACAGCAACAAATAATTCGCCACTACTTTGCACAATACCAAGGTAATGTACGGCTTGAAGTAGAAAACCAAAACCAAGTCCACCTTAAATTTTGCATGGCAAAAGGACATCAAAGTTGAGATTACTAGTTAGTAGTAATTAGATTACTTTACAACATAGGCTCATCTAAAAATATGGTTTTGTTGACTTGGTGGAGAAGAGTCATACATAGGAGAGGAGTATGTATCAATTCAAAAGTGGTGGAAAGGAGGTTCTGGTTCCTCTCATTATATTGTTAATTTGTTATCGGATAAGGAAACTAGAAACTATTTTGATAGTGAAGTAGGGGAATGAACTATGCAATGAATTCCCAAGAAGGGCATATAGTTTCTAGAGCAACAAAAATGAAAAACAACAAAAAATCAAGGGCATTAACACACATGTTTAACCACTCGATCGTAAAAGTACTTCATAGATGAAATATTTGGTCCCAGTATATATCACACTCTGCGTCTCTGCAATCAACAGTTGATCAGAGAACCCTAATTAATAAACTCACTTTTTACCCCCGAATTAACACATGCACCAGGGGCGACTACCAGCTTAACTCAATAAACAAACCATCCTAATTAAGCGACTAATTAAAGACCTAATTAATCAAAGACATGGCCACTCCATATATATGCATGTAGATCAATCAGCAAGTGGCCTGGACGGTGAGCACGCCGGACAGGCACCCGGCGCCGGCGAACGCGCCGGTGATCTCCACCGTGCACGACTCCTTCCCGACGCACGCCGCCGTGAACGCCTCGTACGCCGCCTTGGACTCGCACCCGCCCTCGTAGCCGCCGCACCGCCCGCGCCCCACGCCGAAGCTGGCCACGTCGACGCTCGACACGGCGTGGCCGCCGCCGCACGACAGCGTGACGGCGTCACCGGCCTCGCCGGAGGTGCACACGGCACCGGGCACCACGGTGCGGAGGGCGACGCCCGAGGGGTCGCCGCCGGCCTCCTCGAAGAGGAGCAGCGTGTTGGGCTCGCCGGCGGCGAGGAAGGAGCGCGGCACGTGGTAGTAGCGCTGCGACGGCTCGCCGCAGCCCGTGAGGCACCTGGTGCCGTCGCCCTCCGCCTGGAACGCGCCGCGGTAGTCGCAGCGGTGGCAGCCGGCCATCTCCGCCGCCGTGTACGACGGCCAGTAGCGGCCGAGGTTGTTGCCGTTCACCCACGCCACGCCCTTGTTCAAGCCCAGCAGGTCCACCACCACCGCGTCCTCGCCGGACGGAGCTTCAAATGTAGCCTTCATAACAAAAAAAAAAGTAACCAAAGTATTAAGATTGTTTTGGCGGTGAAAGAATTAATGACATGATGAAATTTCATAGGGAAGGTAAATTAAGTAAATTGTAGTCTTCATAAGAAAACAAAAAAAGTATTAAAAATCCTTTTATTTTTGCAGGTGAAAGAATGAAACGATGAAATGAAATCATACAGGTAATTAAATTACTCCAGTTTCATAATTGATAAGTTTTAGGTTAAACTTTTATAAATTAACTAATAATGACTTTAAAAATATCTAGTTTAAAGGCACCAAAACAACATATATAAATTTGACTTACAAAGTACTATAACAAAAGTAATATATATATATATTTATATTAATATATTGTAATAGAGAAATATAGTCAGAAATATATTTTGAAAATTATGTCATTGTTCAGAATGTTAAGAATTATAAAACCGGAGAGAGTGAGTAAATAATGGACATATACTGTACCTTGTACCAAGTAAAAGGCCTGTTGATGGGGATGGTGCCATTGTTGCCATTCCATTTGTAGCCTGGCTTGTCAAGATGGATCTGCCTGTACTCACTAGCCAAGCCAGCCTACAACACAAAAAAACATCAAAGCAAGAAACACTATATGATCAATACCAGCAAAGTTAACAAACAACTAAGCATTGATGAAAAATAATGTGTAACCTTATAAGACCAGGAGCTGTTGGAGAGATCAATTGCGGTGCCATTGCTGTCTATCAGCTTAACAGGGCCTCCAACAATGCCCGTGGGCATCTTTTCGAACGAAGGGCCATAGTTCTGTTTACCAAGAATGATCAAACAATTTATCACTGGTATACATGATTAATTGCAAATAAAGAAGATGAGTTCGTTGCTGATACGATGGAAGTGAGCATTCAAGAAAGAAAATTAGGAACCTTGAGGCCAACGGTTGCACTCAGAAGAGAGATGTAGTTCTTGCCATCATGGAGCTTCACCGGCGACTCTAGTTGGAAGACAAAATCTCCATCGGCAGAATGGTTTTTCCCTGACAAATTATGAACACACATGTTTGTCAATGAACATTCTTTAATTTTGACCCGCAGGTTCACAAACATTCTTTAATTTCGACCCACACAGAATTAAAAGAATGGTGCAACGAAAATATGGAAAAAAAATAACTTTGATACTCACCAATAAGCTTCCCGTTCACAAAGGCATAAAGTTCATGGCCAGTCGTGTTCACGTACAATTTGTAGCTCCCTTCTCCTTTGTGATTAAGACTGCAATTTTTTTTTTGTTGGTGACGTTCTAAATTTGTAACATATATATATTTTTTTGTCGGAATCATTTCAAATTTACATCATCATGATCTCTTTTCTTTAGTATAAAGAGATTTTTTTTTTAAAAAAATACCTTGTTCTGTACCACAGGTAATCACTTTGATCGGTTGACGTGACGATCTGCTCCAAGAGCTCATTCTTCCTAAAGTTGCCCTTCTCATCGGTCATGAAAGGACTCAAGTTTTCAGGCATCCAAGACCATTTTAGGCTCTCCTGCTCCTGCTCCGCCGTGTTGGGTTTCTTCACCATGACAGACGTCTGGGTCTTAATCTAGGTCATACCAAGAGGAAAACAAAATTAAGAGATGAATTATAGACCTTACACTTGGTCTCATTTTAATTTCATTATTGATTATTGAGAAAGGAAAAATACCTTGGCGCTATTGAAGGCAACAGTCTTGCAGTCAGGCAAGATGCTGACTGACCATGCAGGCAGGAGGTGAGTGGCTCCATCGAGGGTCACATTGACATCTTTATCATCAAATCTGTTGTTGATGAAGCAAGCAGATGAGGAGTCCAGAGTGTACTTGGTAACCTACATTGATCAGAGATAGTACCAATATGCATGCATTAGATATGTTTGCATTAGACGTGATAATTTTGATTAAAAGAAGGGCGTGATCTGAATATTACTGTGATGTTATCGCCATAGTTGGTGTCAAAATACTCTCCATGGACAAGAGTTTTCTCCATGGACTTGAGCACGGAGTGGAGTTCCTTCAAGTGACCATATTTGGGTTGCCTGAGATTACCTGTAATAAATCAAAAGTAGACCAACAAGATTATAATTAAAATAAGACAAAAAATTGCTTTCTTATTCAAATTCACCATATAATTAACAGTACGGTAAAATATATTAATCAAAGCTTACCATACTCATCCAAAGGCGCGTCATAATCATAGCTTGTTGTGATGTACGGACCTCCGGAGGTACGACCAAAGTTGGTTCCACCATGGTACTAACAAAAAATGGAAAAAAAAAACTCAGCATAAATCAACGAAAATTCAGTCATTGTGAAAGAGATACAAGCTAGCCAGCATACCATATAGTAATTTTGCAGAGATCCACGCTTTTGGAAGAACATCGCAACCGCAAAAGCAATGTCTTCAGCTGACCTATGGAAATCCGGCTTGTCCCAAGCTTTGAACCTAACGTTAAGTACATCAACAAATTAAGATAAATCTCCTCCATGTTCATCAAAAAATAATTTTGCAAACAAAGAGATATATGTACTAAAAGTTAATTTTGTAAACAATGAGAGAAATACTAATGGAAGAAAAAAAAATACCAGCCAGTCCAGTTCTCTGTCCAAATCTTAGGGATGCCTGTCCTATTTGGAAACCAGTCATGGCAATAGAATCCATTACAGGTATTGACCTAGAGCGGTCCAAAACAATGACAAACTCATGTTATTAGATGAGTGATAAACAAATAAATTCATATAATATTCTATATTCTTGTGGGATTAAAACCCATGCTCACCACATTGTGCGGCACATCGTCGTCTTGTTGACACATGATCCATGGGACACCGACGTTCTGCTTGTTCGCCATGTCAGCACACCAGTGGATGTATTCAGATGCAGACTGGTTGTTGTTTAATTTCCCCATGATGTTTCCATACTCATTCTCAATCTGTGCATTGATCCATTAATGCATTGATATTAATTGACAATATATATTGTGGAATGACAATAGTACAAATTATTAACATGCTAATTTCCCATTGTTCAATCATATTGAAGAATGATCATTACAATACCTGAGCAAGGATGATCGGTCCTCCTTGTTCAGCAAACATTTTTGAATCCTTCATCTTGTTAACTATAAGAGTGGTGAATGTCTCCATCTCATTCTATATCATGGAAAAAAACACTTGCATTAATTATATGCTAGTATATGTAAAAGTACACAAAAATAGATGAGAATTTTATTATTATTATTATTATTTAACCTCAAAAGGCTCATTATGCAGCCTAAACTGCATTCCAGGGATGTCGCGTAGCCAAGCTGGAAGTCCTCTGCACATTTGGCATTTGTTTTAGAAAACAACAAAACACAGTGAGCACTTCAACATGCATGCATGGACACATAATAATGTTATAGAAAGAAACTAGAGTAGTTTAGTGTGCTCGCTTGTTTCCTCTTATTCTATATGAACACTATAGATATAATATTTGATTAATTTGCAGATCGATATAATAGTCTATTCTATTTCGTTTTTTTCTCTAATTCTATATGAACATTATAGATATAATATTCGATTAATTTGCAGATCAATATAATATTCTATTCTATTTATCACTTTGACACACAAATGCTTTAGCATTTATATACATGATACATACCCATAGTTCCATTCGCCACAGATGTACGGGCCAATGCGAAGAATGGCGTACATGCCGGCATTCTGGATCTCCTTGAAGAACCTGACGACATCGTAGTTACCCTCAAAATTGTACTGCCGATCAAAGCAAAAACATTGTTATAGTATTACTAGTATTTATCCATGGTTGTTATTGTATGTAATAGCTGCAGTACGTAGTAGTGTTTATGTGCTAAAGCAAAAGTAGTAATATTGAACCTGGCGGCGGTGCGGCTCATGGCCGTTCCAAAAGATGTAAGTCTCGATGGCATCGAGACCACCTTCCTTCGCCTTCTTGATCAGATCCGGCCACATCTGCATAGCAACAATAAGATTAGATTAGATAGAAAAAAAATCAAATTAATCTTTTGCGCACGTACATATATTGCTTATGTTCATTAATTTCTTAACACAAATTAAGAAAATAAAGATCGAACGAATATAAGTCACAACATAATATGCATGCATAAGTATATAAAAGTATAGAACATAAAACTCCTCGCACTGCTTAGCTCATCACGATCTATGGCACAAAAAGAAAAGAAACACTCAAGCAAGCAACTCTGTATCCTACTAGTACAAAACACTCAAAGTTGTATATGCATTTAATTTGCAGATTAATATTATCAACTATCTCTATTTTTTAATACATGATGTTGTTGATTTTTTCACACATTTAACCATTCTTCTTATTAAAAAAACATAATTATAATTTATTTTTTGTGAGTTGTTTTATCACTCAAAGTATTTTAAGCATGATTTATATCTTATGTATCTCCATAAATTATTACAAATGTTCAAACATATTAAAAAATTAACGACATCATGTATTGAAAAACAAAAATAGTATACACTAGGAATATCTATACCTATACAGCGTTAACCTGGTGAATCTGCCGTTGATCAAATAGACCCACACATTATTAATTTATAGTTAATATCATGGTCCCATGGGCCTCACAAATCCCATCCAATAATCTCTACATACAATTTTGTTGGGAATTCAGTTGGATATATTGCCGATGATCTGGATTTCAAGCGGAGGCATCAACACAAATGGAAATAGAGATGAACTTTAGGACGCGCTCAGATATCTCCAAGTCGATCGGGTATTATTGTTTCTCAATCTAGATTGGTTTCTCATCTCAAACAATTTTAACCTGGGTAAACTATATATATGACACGGTTGAAAAATGAGCACCTGGAAGAGTACATAGTAACGTGCTAATTACTTTGCTGACAGAGTTTAGTCTATGATTATGTTGACTACACGGACAGAATTTTGGACAATGATTATGTTGCTACCAACATATGATTAATTCCGTGGCTACTTTTTTTATTTCTTTTTACATGTACAGATTGGATCTAATGCCAAAATTTATTTAATTAATTAGTTTTCCACTTAACACATTACTACGCATAGTTACAATTTCAATATAATTCTCAACGGTGATAACAATATCAATATTGTACACCATTCATAATACATGGATCTTACAATTTTAAAAATATACAACGAATTCTATGATTAAAATATAATTCACTCAGAAAATAAATTAAAAATCACCATATTGCAGTTGGCATTAATTTGCCATCAATTTAAACCATTCCTATACGATTTTGTATGACTGAAATACTATCAGAGTAAAATTTTATAGGGCTAAAAAATAATATTTAAAATTATCTCGTGCGTTGCACGGGTTGACGGCTAGTATAACAAGTCGGTTACCTCGGGAGTGCTCCGGGGATAATGGATGGAACCAGAGAGGATGATCCGGCGCTGGCCGTCGATGACGAGGCTGCGGTCGTCGTAGCTGACGCTGGTGCAGCCCACGGCATCGGCCGCCACGGCGAGGACCAGCAGCGCCACCCACCACCGGCACCAGCTGCTGCCGCGCCGTCCCATCATACTGCTGCTAATTTGAAGTTAATTAGCTAGGCTACAGGGGAGGAGGGGAGGAGAGGAGGAGACGAGATGAGTTGCAACTTTGCAGATGCAAGCGATCGAATTGCAGAGATCGGGCGTGGGGGTGATACGGAATTTATAGGCCGCAGCGATACGATGCGCCGTACGTTGGAGATAGATACAATAGAGGATAATTACGTAGTACACGTGGGCATGGGTTTGTTAATCTTGGAGATACTATTGCACAGAGAAACAAACAAAGTAGTTAAGCCGGATCGCCATGCATACGATAAAGACGTATGATACGATAATTAGTGGTTAGCCGTAAAATCGAGATTGCGTGCCGTTTCTTTTTTTTTTGCGGATAGTGCTAAAACTAGAAAAGACAATCTCCATCCCCTCCTCCTAACTGAGAGATTTGATAATTTAACACTATTTTCAATGGGTTTCGATTATTTGACATTCTGGTTCACTTTCATACACTCATATGGTCTCACATATCATCCTCACAAAAATATCAATTAAAGTAATTGGACAATGAAAAAAGCGTTAAATTATCAAATTTTTCCTCCTAACTTGGCATCAGAATTCTTTTCCATCAGATGATAATGCCCCTCGTCTCTTCACGAGATTTTATCACCTCTCGGAACTGGCTGACACCCTGTGCATTATCATAGACTCTGCTGCCTGAATAGCTTCTGATGTTCCAGTTATCCCTATCAGATATCTTGATCCTGGCACCACTAGCCTGAATGATCTCTGTAATGTTCCTTCCGGCACGTCGTACGACAGCACCAAAATGTTCATCAGCAATACCAATAGTGAGAATCTTGGGCGTCATTGTTAGCAGGTGAGATCTCATAGGTGTACTGGGTTTGTTGTTTTGGTCCCTTCCTCCATACCCATTAGGTCCATAATTCACAGCATTATTATACGGCACCTGTGGGATCATAATACCCAACAGGAACACCAGGGTAACTAGGGAAACTAAGGCCTGCATATGGAAATGGGGAACTCAGATTAGGTGGGTAGTGAACGTCCTCCGATAACTTATGCTTCATATCAAATATATTGCACGCATCTGATGGTCCAAGGGTCCTGTGACAGTAACGAGTCTATCATGCAAACCAAGAAAATTGTTATCCTGTGGTGAAATCTTGATTCCAGCATGTGTGTCTTCAATGAATGACTTGATTCCTTTACCAATGATTCCTCCACAATAATTTAGATAAAGGAATTAAAGCTTTGTTGATCATCTCAGATAATTACATCCAAAGGTGATAAAATTAGATAAGGTGATACAATTAGATAAAAAAGAGTATTATTTGCAGCAAGCAACTGCGCTCTGAAAATGAAATTCATTGTTATAGAAAATCCTGGTCGTCATTCTCATTGTTTTTTTGTTCCCCAAACACTGCAACCAAGCAATAAAACAATAGGGGCTACTACACACATGCCCTCATATGAACACGATGGAACCAGAAACAAATAAATCCCAGAACCGCCATATCGGTGCCAGGAAAAGTTACATCGGATTGTACTAGTCAAACCTGCAGAGAAGCACAACCCATATATTCATCATGATCAGTCCCTCTTTGAGCCGCTACCATTCTGGCCGGTGAGGATCCTGGAGATCTGCAGCCCCCGGCTGAAGGCCTGGTTGAAGAGCAGCCGAGTCTGAAACTCGGAGACGAAGGGGAACCACGACAGGACGGCGATGGGGAAGAAGATGAGGATCCCCATGGTGTACTCGTACATCCTCGCCATCTCCTGGATGGAGTCCCATGGCCCGATCTTGCGGAGCACATCCCGGCTCCTCAGCCTAAACCTGGCGCAGCAACGCCCCTTGCATGCGGTGCCCCCGGTGCAACATGAACAGAACAGGGCGCAGAGCGGCTCCGTCACCAATCTCCGGAACAATGGTCCACAGAGCTGTGCAATCTACGAGAGTAAAGTGAATGTGATGATTGAATACAATGGACAAATGAGTGGACAATTCTAGTGGGAAGGGGGAAAAAATCAGGTTGAAGTTGTGAGCACAGATGCATCACTTACCTGAAGAATAAACCAGCCAGTAGGGATGAATGCCAAAATACTGGCACCAACATCAGAGACAGTCAGATTGAAAACAACAAATAATATGACCACCAAGCTGATGAGGACAATAAAGACAATGCCCTTGAGGATACGGAATACAAGTTGAAAATTGGTAATAAACTTCTCTCTCCCCATTGAGACGACCTGGAAGAAGAAATATGCTCAACTGTAGGATTACTATTGCAAAGAACATAATACAATACCAAATAAACTGTTACCTTAAGTGATACAAGAACTATAGCTATAACCAGCCATGATAGTGCATACACCTGTGGAAACAAAAAAAAGAAAGAAAAACCATTAGTCCGGTCAGAATTCATACATTGATGCAGAGCACTCTAGTCAGGATAAGTACCATGAAGCTTCTGTTCCCATGCACTATGTGTAAATGATAAACAATACCATATTGGTATATCAAGAAGCGAAGGGAGAGGACGAACTCCAACAGCAGGCTACGTATTGTACCATTCCTCAGGTGGTCATGTTCACTTATCCACCAAGCCTCCCAACTTTGCTCTGGTGCCAGGCCAATACCTCCTCTATTGCTCATCCAATGCCACCAGTCAGTCCAGTCATCAACAGTCTTGTGCCACTCAAAGCATGATGGATTGAAGACAAAAGGTGCAAACAGCCAACAGAAAACAAGGAACCATATTGAAATTGTGACATATAGATACAAACTTGAGCTCCTGTACGAAATGCCATAAGCTAGATAGACAACCAAAAGAATGAGTAGCTCCAGTGCTTTCACAAAGTGGCTCCGGGAATACATCCGGTAATTCTCAGCAAACTTTGCATGGCGCACAACAAACCCCCGGCCTGTACCTCTATATTTTGCACCACCATGAAGTATTGTTCTTCCATAGTAGTGAGTCTTCGTTCCAAGATGGAAAGTGAAGAAAACAGAAGCTAATTGAAGTTGCATTATTACAAACTCTCCCAAGGCTCTGCCAAATCCTTTCTCCAAGCCAACCTCTATCATCATAGGGAGGACGAGCAACATTCCAAGTTGGAAAATAGATTGAGTTGCAAGTGCATTTTCAAAGGGCTTGATGTTCTTAATTTGTGGATCCTGGAGAATTGACTTCTCTAGGCCACTCAAAACAAGATATAACCTCCCGTATAAAAATACATACACTGTAAGAACAGCCACCTGAAAGTAATCAAAGCCATAAAATGCGTTAGCACACTTTGTACAAAAGTACAAACCTTATGTCACATTTTTTAGTTCTTTATAATCTGCTGGTCACTGCTTTAAAAATCATGAAGAACAATATAGACCATTTTATTTCCCTACTAGGTTGTTTTCTTTGTAGAGAATTTATCTCCTCAAACGGAATGCAAAGATAAGGGAGCATAATTATTGGGCCAACATGCTAAATGTGCCTCAAACTTAACTTCACATCCAAATATCTTCCTGGGACTTTTTGTTTTTTTTGCAATAATACTGGTTGGTTATTGGTTTTAGTGGCAAGATTTTTCTAGTTCATATCTTGTTTGTTGTCGTGCTTTACAAACCACAAAGTGAACCAATCAGCTATTGCAGCTCCAGAAACTTTATATGTTACTAAGTTGATGTGTCAAAGAATAAGATTCATACCATACTATTGAAGTAGAAACCAACTGTAGTGAAGTATAGAGACAACATCCTGTAGAAATCAAATCTGTGCCCTAGTCGATAAATATCTCGACAGAGTGTTTGTTCACCATTTCCGTTTGCCACCTTGGCCTCAAAGTTGGATATTTGATTCATTCCAACATCACGTCCTTTACCCAGCTGTATATATTCATGATGAGTAACATTTCCTTGCCGCAGGGTTGAATTGAATCCTTTAATCAGAACAACCATAAGCTTACTGCACAGAACAAAACTAATTTGCATGATGCACATAATCTCTGGAAATTTTACCTGCAAAGATATCCTCGCTAAGGTTGATAACCTTTGATGCCTTGCTTATGCCACCCCTTGTGAGGTGAAAGATTCTATCGAAAACATCAGGGTGACCATAATGGAATCGTACCCTGCATAAGAAATTTGGAAAAATAACCAAAGAAAATAACTCCGCTGCTCATGGTACAATTGTACAAAGATCTACACAGCAAGGTGAAAATCATTCTAGCCTAACCTGTATCACTTGAGTTTTATAATTCCTATATTTACTTAACAATTTATCTCCTATCCTCTCAAAAAATTATCTCCTACACGATAAATTGTACCTAAAATCAGGTTTTACACGGTGAGAATTGTGATAGTACCTAGCCCCCACTGGTTCCCTAAAACTGGTGGGTTATTGGGTGGTTTCTAGACTCACTCTAGGCACTGCCAATCAGTTTGGGATTGATGAAAATTGTTCAAGTTAGTCAAACCAGTCTAACTTGGGAGTAAATTGGTATAAATATCATTACTAACTCACTGAAAATGAGATGAGTAAATAACAAGAATAATTGATTTGTCACATCTGACCAGTTTGACCATAAACAGGTAAGAACTGGCTGGTCCACAGGCCTTTACAACCCTGTCAGCTGTACGTTCCTTGAATTTATGTGCTGTAAATTATCATTTCTAAATTCTAAGTATATTGCCTTCAACCCCTGTGTTCATAGCATGCATGGCCTTGTGTTTGCTTTGCTATGCTATGATTTTGGCTAGTCAATGCCATTTAACAATTTTAGCAATTTATTGTTCAAAATTATAGTTCCTTTACACCTTAACAAGTAAATCTCCCAGCATATATTGATCCTTTATTCCTTGTGTAACTCATAAAAATATTCTAGTTTGGTGGTTGGTTATGGCTCCATGGAACATTTAGTAGTTATCAAAATCCAATAATATGAAAGCTACACATTTGTGGGTAGGAGCTCTGCCATGAATTAGATAGGATCAAAGCTTAGACAAAACCATACTGAATGCTTGAGGAGAAGCCAACAACATGAAAGGAATATGAATCAAGCAGACATTAAGGTTGTGCAATATGGTGACTATATTGCAGAAGTTGTATAAAATGAATTGGCCAATATA